GTTCGTATCTAAAAAGCAAAAGGTTAGAATGGGCGGGTCATATTTGGAGATCGGACGGTATTGCAAAAAATATTTTCGTTGGAAGATTAAACGGTAAAAGACCTAGGGGCCGACCAAGACAAAGATGGGAGGACAGAGTGAAAACGGATCTCAYGGAAGTATCAGAAGRATTAATAAGGATTGAAGATAGTGAAGACAGAGATAGGTGGAAAGATTTTAAAATAGAAATATCTGTACAAATGTGCAATATTTGAAAGTTGATGTATGAATTTTATGATCAAAGTTAGAAAGCAAATAATCCTTTTGGGTATACACCTTTTTTAAAATTCTATTGTTAAATAATATTGATGCGCGAATGATGTAAGACCTTTAAAACGGCTGATGCGCAAATGATATATAACCCAAAAATCKAACGATGCGCAACTGTCTTACAAAAAAGGTCAAAATTAACAATAGCGATGCGCAAATGATTACCGGCGAGATTTACATCACAAAGAAACTATTTGGAAAACTATTTCAGGTATGTACAGGTATGTACAAAAATATAATAGTTCTAATAACTAGTAATAATTAATTTAATTAATTAAATATGTATTAACTAGTTCACTTGATGGATATTATTTATTGTAATTACTTAGCTTTATTATAACAATATTCTTATGCTTTTAAATTATGAAAGTTAAAAAGTTAAGGTTTTATATAGAGAAAGACTCCAAAAAAAGGTGGAGGAATATTAGGGATACGTATATGGAACTGAAATGTTGATTTTGACTAATCGCTCAATTTCGGTTTCAACTTTTCCCTTAAGTGCTAAAGGAATATTTCAGGTATATTCATATTTGTTGAAAGTGCCTATTTCATCTTTAAAAGGATTGTTATATTTTTTTATAATACTATCAACACTTACGTCATTTTAAATATTAAACAACAAGGTAAAACATTTTATATTGTTTATATCATTTTGAGAATGAAGAGTGGAGAATCACCATTGTCGATAACATAAAGGCACATTATACATTTTTTATTTTGGTACACTAAATTGACAAATATTTTTCCCATCAGTTTAATGGCGTTGCCGACGTAATCTGATTGCGAAATGTCATTTTTTTAAATTTTACATGATTAAACAGTTGAAGATATAATCTTTTTGAAATTACGCTGTGTTGTGAACCGGTGTCAATTTCGAATCTTACATTATTGTTTTCTACGATTAAATTTACAATAAATGGTTTCACCGCCTTATTTTGAGAATTTTGATCAATTATGGAAAAAAAAGTATTAGAAAGATCATAATTAACTGTTTCATCGTCATCATTGTTATCATACAAAAATTTATTTTTTGTTGTTATTTTTCCTTTCTTTCTTACCCTTTTTACATACGGTGGACAAATGACCTTTTTCAGCACAATCGTTGCACTCAAAGTCCTKGTATCTGCAGTAATTTTGAAAGTGATTGGAACGGCCACAATTCCCTCATTTGATTTTTGATTCCTTGTATGTGTTGAACTTCTGCTTGGCACTATGTTCATTTATTTTTTATTTTTAGRTATTTCAAGTTTGCGTATTCTTCTTTTTTCAAGCTACTCTTGTCATTTATTTCAGCTTCTTTGGCTGTCACAATTTTCATTAGATCTGAATATGTAACTCCAATTTTTGAGGCATCTCCTTTTAACAGCCTATCTTGGGTTGGTCCTGAACCCATACCGAAAGCATATATGTTTCTAATGACTGTTGTTAGTTCCGACGAAAACCCACATTTTGATGCAAGATTTTTACACGTGCACCCCATTGGAACACTGATTCATCTTGTCTTTGTTTAGCTTGATGAAACGTATACCTAGCCGTGAAGTACGATTTTATTAGTTTGAAATATTTGTTCAAACTTTTCATTAGAGTGTCTGACTGCATTTTGGCTCAAAAATTGTAATATCCATACCTGTTTCAAAGTTTCCAAATGACCCAAAAACTTGATTGAAGTTCGCTATGAATTCTGTCTTAA